TAAAAAAATTGCATATATAGATGCAATATTTAATGTATTCCCAAATATTTTATAATTTATCTTTTTTAATATAATTATTTAGAGAAAATATAATTTCCTAATCATTTTCCATTTAACTAATTGGGTATTAACAAACATCAAGTTATAACATGATGTGAAAAATTTGGAGATACTACTATAAAGCGATTTGGAAAACATTCTATCATACCTTTCTCAGATCTTGTCAAGCTTAAAGGATATAGACATTTCATTCTAAAACTATTGGTCAAAATTAGTGAATTATGACCTCTCTTTCTATAGGACTTAGATAATTAACTATAGTTTTCATTTTCTCCTACTAGTTGTTGATCCATTTAGGTTAAAATTCTTCTAACATGAGTTGCTTATTTGCATTTTATTTAAAAATTAATGTATTTTCTGTATATTTAAATATGTTCCAAAACCTAATATGTGCCAGATATATCTTTATATCTTATTTTTTATTATTTTGTTTTTTGAATTGTCCATTCTTCATACTTATTTTGAATTTGCCAATATATGAATTGATCTATTTCCTAAGTTTCACTTTTTAATCCATTTTAACATCTAAGTCTTTATTAATTAATATGCTTGTTGTTTCATACATCACAGAACACTTATTTCTTAAATTTCCCTTTTTTTCCTTTCTTTTTTTCTTTTTTTAGGTACCGGGGATTGAACTCAGGGGCTCTCAACCACTGAGCTACATCCCCATCCTTATTTTGTATTTTTTTTAGAGACAGGGTATCAATAAGTTGCTTAAAGCCTCACTTTTGCTGAGGCTGGCTTTGAACTCAAGATCCTCCTTCCTCAGCCTCCTGAGCCACTGTGATTATAGGCATGCACCACTGCACTCAGCTTCCTTTCATTTTTGATAAATCACTTTATTTTTTAAAATTGTAACTATAATTATTTTTTTGGTAGTAGGGATTGAACTCAAGTTAGCTTTACCTCTGAACTGTATCATCAGTCATGTTATTTTATTTATTTTTTTTTTTTTGAGTCAGAGTCTCACTACAGTGCTGAGTGTTTACCTAAATTGCTGAAGCTGACTTTGAAATTGCAATCCTTTTACCTCCACCTCCAAGTCTCTGGGATTACAGGCATCTGCCACCACACCCAGCTGATAAAATAAAACTATTTTTCCCTGTATGCACAATTAAATCAACCATTTTTCATACTTTAGAAGGCCCTCCACCTTTTACCTCTAAATTTTGTTTTTGTTTGGCAATTTTGAAAGTCAAGATCTCTGATATTATAAGGGATTCTATGCATTATATTAATTTTGTCTCTTAAAAATTGTTAACATTTAAATCTATATCTAAGTTTGCTACTTTATGTCAGGTGTTCTTTCACTTATGTTAGTGTGGCTTGGGAGATGCTGCAGTACCATTTTAATTATAGTGTAGAGGGAAAATATACGTAGGAGATACGCATTTTAGAGTTCTTATGTATTAAAATTACAAAAAAATGTGCCCTTCCAAATAAATGGTCCCTTTTGTTGACTAAAGTTTTAAAATTTCAGTTTTATCCCCAAATTCTGAGCCCCTATTATATTTTCCTGATGCTTTCAGTCCTGAATGCTAGTTTTAGTCTCTTTACACTTTACAGAATGTTATATCTTTTCTTTCTATCGTTTTTCTTTCTTCTTCCTTTTTCTTTCTTTCTTTTTATTGTTATGAATATTTTGGGGGGATTATAAATATAGCCAATAAATGTTTGAGATTTGATGGATTTGTTCAGTTTTCCTATTGGAAAGTTAGTCTGCTCACATGGTCTATGTCAAGATTTTCTTCAATGCAGAAAAGCTGTCCAATACCATTTACCTTTTTTTTTTTTGGTTCTGTCTGATCATCTTTTCATACCAGTAAAAATAAAATGATGATATCCTTTGTTGTTTCATGTTATTTAAATAAATATAAATTAATTTACAAAGGGACTTTGTGGAATACATTTAAAATCATACTTAAGTGATGTTCTAATCCTAATTTCCAAACTGTATATTAAAATGCCAATCAAAATCCCAACGGCATTTCTTGTAGAAATGGATAAAGCAATCATGAAATTCATATGGAAAAATAGAAGACCCAGAATAGCAAAAGCAATTCTAAGCAGGAAGTGCGAATCAGGCGGTATAGCGATACCAGACTTAAAACTATATTACAGAGCAATAGTAACAAAAACAGCATGGTACTGGTACTAAAACAGGAGGGTGGACCAATGGTACAGAATAGAGGACACAGAGACTAATCCACAAAGCTACAACATCTTATATTTGATAAAGGAGCTAAAAGCATGCAATGGAGGGAGGATAGCATCTTCAACAAATGGTGCTGGGAAAACTGGAAATCCATATGCAACAAAATGAAACTGAATCCCCTCCTCTCTCCATGCACAAAAGTTAACTCAAAGTGGATCAAGGAGCTAGATATCAAATCAGAGACTCTGCGTCTGATAGAAGAAAAAGTTGGCTCCGATCTACATATTGTAGGGTCCAGCTCCAAATTCCTTAATAGGACACCCATAGCACAAAAGTTGATAACAAAAATCAACAAATGGGACTTACTTAAACTGAAAAGTTTTCTCTCAGCAAGAGAAACAATAAAAGAGGTAAATAGGGAGCCTACATCATGGGAACAAATTTTTACTCCTCACACTTCAGATAGAGCCCTAATATCCAGAGTATACAAAGAACTCAAAAAATTAGACAATAAGAGAACAAACAACCCAATCAACAAATGGGCCAAAGACCTGAACAGACACTTCTCAGAGGAGGACATACAATCAATCAACAAGTACATGAAAAAATGCTCACCATCTCTAGCAGTCAGAGAAATGCAAATCAAAACCACCCTAAGATACCATCTCACTCCAGTAAGATTGGCAGCCATTATGAAGTCAAACAACAACAAATGCTGGAGAGGATGTGGGGAAAAGGGTACTCTTGTACATTGCTGGTGGGACTGCAAACTGGTGCGGCCAATCTGGAAAGCAGTATGGAGATTCCTGGGAAAGCTGGGAATGGAACCACCATTTGACCCAGCTATTGCCCTTCTGGGACTATTCCCTGAAGACCTTAAAAGAGCGTACTACAGGGATACTGCTACATCGATGTTCATAGCAGCACAATTCACAATTGCTAGACTGTGGAACCAACCCAGATGCCCTTCGATAGATGAATGGATAAAAAAAATGTGGCATTTATACACCATGGAGTATTACGCAGCACTAAAAAATGACAAAATCATAGAATTTGCAGGGAAATGGATGGCACTAGAGCAGATTATGCTTAGTGAAGCTAGCCAATCCCTAAAAAACAAATACCAAATGTCTTCTTTGATATAATGAGAGCAACTAAGAACAGAGCAGGGAGGAAGAGCAGGAAGAAAAGATTAACATTAAACAGATACATGAGGTGGGATGGAAAGGGAGAGAAAAGGGAAATTGCATGGTAATGGAGGGAGACCCTCATTGTTATACAAAATTACATATAAGAGGTTGTGAGGGGAATGGGAAAATAAACAAGGAGAGAAATGAATTACAGTGGATGGGGTAGTGAGAGAAGATGGGAGGGGAGGGAGGGGGGATGGTAGAGGATAGTAAAGGTAGCAGAATACAACAGTTACTGATAGGGTATTATGTAAAAATGTGGATGTGTAACCGATGTGATTCTGCAATCTGTATTTGGGGTAAAATTGGGAGTTCATAACCAACTTGAATCTAATGTATGAAATATGATATGTCAAGAGCTTTATAATGTTTTGAACAACCAATAAAAAAAAATTTTAAAAAAAATGCCTATTGCCAGGCTCAAGTTATAGCTCAGTTGGTAGAGCATTTGCCTAGCATGTGTGAAGCACTAGGTTTGATCCTCCACACTGCATAAAAATAAATAAAATAAAGGTTTTGCATCCATCTATAACTTAAAAAAATACTTATTGCCAGTGCACTTCACAGGTAACAGTTGGGGTGTGGCTATATAACATAGGAGACCACTTTGTGGAAATGTAAGACTCTAATTCAGTGTTTTTTAATTGAAATTTCTTTTGGTGTGTAGGAAAGGGAGATTAAAAATTTAATGAACTTTAAAAAGTTTAACAGAATAATGGTAAATGCACAATGTAATTCTGTAGAAATATCTAAACTACTGAATATTCTGAATCTAATTTTTAAGTGGGCAAATTCTGCACATTTATACGGGGATAGAAATATGTTTATGGTATTATTTTGGCAAAAATACACGAATGTGTGTTTGTGGCTGAAAGATGTGTGTTTATAAATACATGTAATACATACATATGTGTATGAATGAAATGTAAACTTCTTTTAGTGGGACATGGGGCTCAGTGGCTAAATACACTTTTAAATTCATACACTTTCAGTTACAAAATATGTGCTTAATTTTAAAATAAAAATTAACACTAATAAAATATTAAAGCATCAGTAATATGAAAAAACTGCCAAATATAAGCTTCTAGCAATGCAAATTTATCATAAATTTATATTTATTGTTCATTTTTAATATTTTCTTTTCAGATGTTTTATTTTGTTTAAGAAAACATGTAAAATAAAATGCAAATTGTTGATCAGTAGTATAAAATGTTGAAGGGTTTAGGATAAGACATTATAGTATCCATGTCAATTGATAGTTATTTTATCAAAATGTGTATAAGAATTATAAAGTACATAAATAGAAAATGTCCAAATGGTGACAGCAAATGTTTCCAAATCAAATAAATAATATAAGATGATTGAATTTCATTTTTTTAAAAGATGAAGGAGGGATACAAAATATACTTTCATGTAAGTCATGATTTTGCCATTTGAATAATTAATGTTGTCAAAATTTCACTACTCATTCTACCATTTCTTATGTAGTCATAAAAATCTTATGAAAATTCATTATCCTTTGTAATTCAAACACCTATACCAGATATAAAGACCAAGATAATCCAAAGTAATTACACATTTTTCTGTTTCAGATATGTAACAATTTTGGCAATTGTCAGTGCTTTCCTGGCCATAGGCCTCCAGATTGTACATTTCAGATTGGTTCACCAGGGGGCAGTATTGATGATGGAAATATTCTAAAATCTGGTGAGTAAAAGTTCAACTTATAAAACAAAACAGAATTTTGTTTGTTTTACAGGGTACTAATTAAAGAAATCTACTTCTGCTTCAAGTCTTTTATGCTCTCCTGAGAAATTCAAAGAGTTACATGTATGGTGTTTCTATTTAAATTAATGTTATACAAATTTTTAATCATATTTTCTGAGACATCCAAGATTTATTTATTTAGTTAAATAAGATAACATAAAATAGTACTCCTAAATTTTAGTTAATATTTTAAAAATCATATAGAATAACAAAGAATACACATGTGACTTGCATTTCATATTATTAAAAACTTTGTAAATCATTTAAAAGCAACTGTAGGATACAGTGTGCAATTTGAATGAAATTTGGAAAAACATATGGCAAAATATAAAAGTATATTTTATATGGAATAATACTAAATCAATTACATTTGGAGTGGGAGTGCATATTTATATTTTCCCCTGTTCCTATGAATGAATACAATATCCTAAGGTACGTTGCTTCAACCATTCATTCATACTTTCCCTCCACAAACGTGTTGTTGGCTATTTGGAGAGGCAAATTAAGATCCATATTTCATAAACTAGTTATCTAAGTGTTTTATGGTTTGAATGCGAGGTCCCCCAGAAGTTCACGTGTAAGACAATGCAAGACGGTTTGGAGAAGAAATGATTGGGTTATAGCCTTAATCTAATCAGTGTATTAATCCCTGGTGTGATTAACTGAGAGTGAACTGGAGACAGGTGGGGTGTGGCCAGAGGGAGTAGTTCACTGGGAACATGGCTATGGGGTATATGTTTTGTATCTGGAGCATGGAGTCTCTTTCTCTCTGCTTCCTCACCACCATGTGAGCTGTTTCCCTTTGCCATACTGTTCTGCCATGATGTTCTGCCTTACCTTGAGCCCCGAGGAATGGAGTCTTCTGTCTCTGGATTGGGGTCTCTGAAACTGTAAGCCTCCAAATAAACTTTTCCTTCTTTACAACTGTGCTGGTTGGGTCTTTATGTCACGGTAGTGAAAAGAGCTGACTAAAACAAGGTGTTTGGTAATGTCAGACTGAATGAAAATATATTACTTGAAAAGCAATGACTTTAATTATAAGGCCCTTAAGCAGACAATGAAAGAAGGGAAGACAAGTAAGTTGTTATATAATATCAGGTATTTGTAAGTAGCAATGAGTAAAGAAAAATTATGGAGAAAGATGTTTGAGAATTAAAATTGATACATGGAGAAAGATATTTGAGAATTAAAACCAAATTTTCATTAGAAATCAGAAGAAAGCTGGGTGCAGTGGTGCATACCTATAATCTCAGCCACTCTGAGGTAGGGGGATCACAAGTTCCAGACCAGCCGTAGCAATTTAACAAGGCTCTAAGCAAGTTATTGAGACCCTATCTCAAAAAAAAATTTTTTTTAAAGGCCTGGGGATGGAACTCAGTGGCAAATTATCCCTGGGTTCAATCCCCAGTACCTCAAAGTAAAAATAGTAATAATAACAAATAAAAATAAAATAAATCAGAGGATGGACAGACATGAATATAATCCAATTTTCTCAGAGATTAATAATCCATAGTTTATGGTTAAGTCATCAAAGTAATTCATGGAATGATAAAATTATGCACAATGAGTTGAGATATAACTTCAGGAAGCAACAAGAGTTTAGAAACAAAATCTCTGAGATGATTAATAATCCTGGAAACAGAGAGAATGAAAAGGAGCAGCAAAACAGATATGTACTTCTGGCCATGGCAAAGTAATAACAGAAAATTACACGAATGGAATGTTTGTCAACAAGTGACAACAACAACATGGAGTATGATCCTTGAGAAAAGGGAAACATGAAATGAGCAGCACAATGGTGAGACATTGTCAACCATTTTTGTGTGTATGTTTTGGAAGATTCAGATGAAGAGAAGAAAGTTAATGTACAGAACAGATATTTTTTTTAAGTAATGGCCCCAAACTTCCCCCAACCATTATTCTTTTCTAGAGATCAATCAGCAGCTGATTATAATGAATCTTAACATAACAGGAGGTGGTTTGGATCATCCACAACTTTCTCGTGCTCCTGCAGCACACTGAAACCTGGTATTAACTTGGCCTCCTTATGGATGAAAGTCCTTTTAGGTTTTTATTCATGACGACTATTTCTGATAACAGAGTGTGAGGTCTGTGACTTACTTCCATAGGCTGCATCTGACTCAGTTCTCTCAATGTAGTAGTTCAACCAGGAAGAAGCTAGTGTAAAAAAGCATTAGCTTTGTTTTCTTCAACAACCAAAAGAAAAACAATAACCAAACCAAAACAAAATGGTAAACCCCCAAGTAAAGAAGGCAGAATGAGATCTCCAGTTTTCTTTTTTTTATTTTAAGAAAAGTTTCACAGGACTTTACCCATTCACAGTTCACAGGAACAAAATTAACAAAAACCATCCTCAAGGAATCCCCAAATATGATGTGTTAGACAAAGACTTTAAACTTTAAATATTCTCTTATTAAACCTGCTCAACACCTACAGAGAAACATGGACAAAGAACTAAAGCTAATCACAGAAAAGTGTGTGAACAAAATGAGAATATCATTAGAGCTAGGAGTTATAAATAGAACCAAACAAATTTTGGAATTAAAAAAGTACACTAACTAAAATAAAAAATTATAAAGCAGATTTGAACATATAGGGAAAGCAACAGAAAATTTACTGGTAGTTCTGGCTGGTTTGAATGATTTAAGAATTGTTGGTTGTTACATGAATGTCAGTGGTAGTCTGCAGGTACTAATGTGAGGGAAGCTGAAGGATCTTTGCAAACTCTAGATAAACTGATTACGGAGGAAAATTACTTGTGAGAACAAATATCCAATATGGATGAAACTTGTGTTCTGGAAATGGATACCTGAAAGGCATCATACTTAGAAGAAAAAAGTAATAATCACCCCCATGGAAGTTTACAGTGAAGGGTTTAGTAGATGCTTTTGTAGTAGACCTCAGTACACTTCTCAAAAGATTTGAAAATATGGACTCAAACATTAAAAGCTTTTTATTAATAGAGAACATTCATGGTCCATTCCACCATGGACATATTTCCAAAGAGAATAACACATCCTTCTCCAGAAGAGCTCAGACAAGTCCTTCAGGAGGCATTTGGAAAAAGACATTGTTGTCGCAGGAGATGACAGCTCCTGTATGTTTTTGCCCCTGAAGATCTTCTAGTGGGACAAGATGTGCAAGTGGACCAGTGATATTTATTATCTGTCTGGGGCTAAACCTAGACTAATGTTTGTGTTTATATGTTTTTAATAACAAACAGTAAAAAGTTTAATTTTTTTTAAAAAGTATGTTAAAAACATACAATAAGGGTACAAAGAAAAAAATATTTTACACAGCTATGCAAAGTATTTGTGTTTTAAACAAATGTTATGACAAAAGAATCAAAAGATTAAAAAATAGAAATTTTATAAAATAAAATATTACAGTAAGCTAAGGTTAATTTATTGTAGAATTTAAAAACAAAATTTACTGAAGCCCTACTGTCCAGTGTTTATTAATTCTTCTGTAGTCCAATCCTTCACATTTACTCACTGACGGACCCAAAGCAACTATGTGTCCTGCATGCAGTTCCATTCATGGTAAGTGCCCTATACAGTTGTATCTTTTTAAATTTTTTTCCTTTTCTTTTTTTTTCGTGGTGCTGAGGATTGAATCCAGGGTCTTGTGCATGCAAGGCAAGCACTGTAACAACTGAGTTGTATCCCTAGCCCAGTTGTATCTGTTTTTATTTTCATCTTTAAATACTGTATTTACTGAACCTTTTCTATATGTAGATATGTTTAGATAACCAAATGCTTATTGTGTTAGTTTTCTCCAATATTCAGTGCACTAATATTTAGTACACATTTGTAGGTGAGAAGAAAAAGGATATAATAATAGCCTAGATATGTAGTGGGATATACCATATAGGTTTGTTCAGATACATTTGTGATGATTGAACAATGACAAAATCACCAGTTGATGCATTTCTAAAAACATATCCCACTCTAAGTGGCATATGACTGTATATTTATAGTCATTGTATCTTCCTGATAAAAGACCCTTTTATCATTTTACATTCTTTCCTTTGTGTCTTGTGACAGTTTGTCTCATGGTGTATATATTTGTAAAATCTCATCTAATTGTACAGTTGAATATTTGCATTTCATTGTATATAAAAAATATAAAAAAGGAAAATACCAGAGCTATGAAATAACCAAGATTTTCCTTGGCTATTGATGGGAATATAATTGTTTCAACCACTTAAGAATATCACTGGAATTATTTACTAAAATTGAATAAAGGTATATGTTGTGAACAAGCTTTGCCACTCCCAAGGTGTACATGTGCAAGAGAAAGGCAAACATGTTGATGAAAAAAAATATATAGTAGGATATTCATGGCAGCACTATTCATAATACCCAAATGGCAAAGTACCCACACATCCTATGGAATAGAAAGCTTTAATAGCTGTTATTTCTTTGCAATGATATAGTATCCACCAAAAAGCATGAACTTTTTACCACAATAAGCAATGATGTGGGTCCATCACAAAAGCCAGCAATATTGAACAAAAAATGTGAGATGGATTAAAAGTACATATAGTATAATACCATTAATATAACATTTAAAGTCTGTTGAAAATGATGCATGTTTTTAGAGGCCAAAGTAGTTATTTTTCCTTGAGATGGAAAACAGTAGCCTTGGGAAGTTCTGAGGTGCTGGTAAATGTCATATTTCTGGATTTGGTGGTGATTGCATAGTCATGTTCAATTTAGAAAATTCTTTGAGCTATAATAGTATATGCACACATTTTAAAAAATATTATGTTACACTAAAAATAATAAATAAATGATAATTGGAAAAATAAGTGTATATAGATTAATGTATATATCTATACATAGATATAGATATTTATATATACAGGTTATATATATTAGATATCTGTATTATGTATATATTATATTTGGGTTCTGTTTTTGAGTCCAGGACAGTAGGCATATGCATATTAATTTTATTAATGCATTATTAATTCTACAAGTATATTGATATATTGTATATTTTTCTAAATTGTGTAATACCTTAGCTTTTCAAAAGTGTAAAAAATAACCAAAGGGCAAAACCTTGTAGAATATACATGAAAGGAGAAGTATATACACATATCTAGAAACACAGATATAGATATTGACACCAGATGGGAAGTCATGGAAATTGCTTCTTGCAAGGAGAGGAATTAATTTAGCAGTGTTATGGACCAGGCTGTATGGGCAATGACCAAACAGACTCCATTTTACCCTAAGACTTCATATCATGTAAGAAATGCTTCCCCCATTGGAAAGCTCCGCCTCTGTACCCATTAATAGTGACCAAGCATAAGATACTTGGCAACACAAAACAGCAATTCTTATACAATATAAAATTGTTCTCTTTGGTTTCCATTTTTCTTGGGCAGTGTACCTTGTCATACATTGATTGTCTAGACGTTAGTAACCATTCTCTAACTTGAACTGAACTTAGGTCATTTTGACCGCTTCCATTCTACTCACTTGCTGCTATGACAACCTGGAAAGTCCCGTGGGAAGTACCAATATATCCATTGCCCCTAACTGCCCAATTCAGCTTCTGTACCTGCTTGCTTGCAGCTACATCAACCTGGTTGTGTTTTTTTCAGCTTTTGCCTTTAAATATCCTAAAATGCTCAGGTTCAGGGATGTTCCTTGCAGACACAGTTATGGGTCCTGTAGGTATTGAGCCAGCTGGCCGGCTAAATAAAGACTCTTCAGTTTGGACAGGGGACTTGGTGTGTTTTCTGAGCGACCTGCCCTACAACAAGCAGGGAGTGGGTAAAGTTTTTACAATTTTTTTTAAAGTTTAGCTTAAGTGTTTTTAAAATAATAAATTATTTTTATTTAAATTAATATTATTTTTAACTTTTACATAAAACATAAAAGTTATACATACTAGTGGGGTAACATGTAGCACTTCAATACATATATACATTGTGCAATACTTAAATCAAGTGAAACATACCTCCTCAAAATTTATCATTTTTGTGAAAACATTCAAAACTTTCTTCTGAGTCTTAGAAATACACTATCATCATCCGTGGGCACTCTACTGTGCAACAGCACAGTGAAATTTCACACTCCTTCCTACCTGAGAAAGGGAAAGGTTGATCAATGAGTCCTTTTAAATTTTGGTGTTACAAATGAATCCAATGCAGTAAATAGCACTCAAAATGTATACAGCACCATAGTGTTTAAACAAATATGTATAAAAGACAAATTAGAAATGTATGAAAGTATACCATTATGGTTTGGGGATTATGAGCTTAAATGTTTTTTTCCCCTTAATAATTGCAATGTGTTAAAATTTTATGTGTGTGTGTACATTTATATGATTAAAATAAGAAAACTATAATTTATTATAAAGTTTTCAACAAATCTGTACTTTCTGATGTTGCATTTCTAGATTTATTTTTTCTTAAAAAAGGCTATAATGCACATCGGTACAACTGGCTTATTCTGAGTTTCTACATTTTTCTGCCATTTTTTATTGCTTTCATCCTTGTTATCATTAAGAGAAATGAAAGGAGAAAATCAGACAACAGAGAGAAAACAGAATGTGAAGGGTAAGTATGACTCTTGTAGTTAATTTATTAGGTTAAATTGTACTTAATATTAACCATTGTCATAAAATCATACTAATGTTATATAGCATCTGTCATTTTTACTCCTGAAGATGTGCATTTTAATATAATATAAATGCCTTTTTTACAATTTTGCTTTCCAATAGTTTGTTAGTTTATTGAGCCAAGTAAAAAATTAGACTGTGCTAAAACATTTCCTGGTGAGTGTTCCACACTGTACTGGGGTGTTTATAAATCAGAGAAGAATATATTTGGTGCATTATTTTAAGCCTCCTTCTATTTGAATCTAACTTATGTATTGGATTTGGCTTTCTTCAAGGAAAGCCTTTTTTAAATTTAGGAGTTGCATTAAAACTTTTATTAGCAAATTATTTTAATGTCATAATCTTTCTGTCTCAAATAACATAAAAAATCTCACTTAAGATTTCCTCTGAAATTATATACTGTTTCCTGTAGGTTTGTATATGCTATTCTTAGATTTGTGCTTTTTTTCTTCTGATGACCAAACATTCAATTAACTGAAGGCAAGAAACTCATATTAAGACTCTAATTGCAGCTTGGTTGTCTCAGTCTTTTTCTGTTATTACAATTGAATATCACAGACTGTATAATTTATAAATATTTATTCAGCTCACTGTTCTGGAGGTTGCAAGTTCCAAGATTGAGAGATTGCTTCTGTACTGAGGTTCTTCTTGCTAGTGAGGGGTACTCTGCACAGTCCTGAGATGGCACAGGGCATCATATGATAGAAGGGGCATCCAAGAGACAGAGACAGAGTGGCTTTTTTTATGACACAGTCACTCTCAAGAGAACCCATTAATTCATGAATCTATGAGTAGATTATTTAGTTCTTGAGGTCAGAGTTCTCATGACCTAATAACCTCTTGAAAGTCCCACCTGATTTCACCTCTGTAAACCTCACAATGAGGGTTAATTTCAACATGAGTTTTGATGAGGACATTCAAACCATAACATTCACAAATTGTTTCATCTTCAAAGTGTTGTTTTCTTTTAAGCTGTTGTTATGGGTCTGTTTCAGGAAGATACTTTCAGTTTTATACACACAATGCATATTGTTCCAGCAAAAGAATAAGTAACTTAATTAGGCTACCAGCATTTTTCTGAAGAAGAAAAAAAGGCCTTGCATGCTTGCATATGATACAATTGAGGGGATCTGGGTGATGTATGTGCTCAATACATCTCCATAAACCCAATATTTTTATTTTTTGTATTTCTACAAGGAACATTTACTTGGATATATTGAAAAGTTATTTTAACCAGTTGTGGAAATATAGGAATATACTCATTTCCACCATGCATTACCTCTTTATTGAATTTTATAAAGGGCTCTATAAAGGGCTTTGAGTCTCAGGAATCTTTGGATATACTTAGTATAGAACCATCTGTCTTGCTGCCTAGCTTCAAGAGTTCCCTTGAGAGTAACAACCTAAGGCTTAGTCCTAGAAAGTCTTTTTTCCTACCCTTGAGTTAGTTCAATTTTTTGATGTCTTAGGTTATAAGTAAAAAAAAAAAGACTATGGAATATTTTTTTTTCATCTATACCTTGAGTGAATATTTAATGTAAGATAGAGTTGGATTTCTTTTGGTTTCTTTTTTCTTTGTTCATTTATAAATGAGTTTTCCAGAGTAACTTTTTATCTATTTCTGATATTTAGGGGTAAGGATGGCCTCTGCAAACATGCTTTTAGTCATTCTTATCCTTGACATACTCGATCTTTCACTTAAGTAAACTCATGTAAAGTCAATAGACAAAATATTGGACTTTCATATAAAATATGGTAATGATCATTTTCATTCAGATCTTCATAGAAATAATCACTGAAATTAACAAAGAAAATAATGTATTGAGAATTTCTTTAATTATGTGAAATCCTAGGCACATTCCCAGGTAGAGTAGGAAAAAGAAAAATGAGGAGAGCTCTAGCTAGGCTGGTAAAATTCAGCAAGGATGTTGGCAAAATTTGTAATCTTTTTGGCTTCATGCACTCCCAGGAAAAAAACATGGCCATTTAAAATTTGGAGCGAGGTAAGTTCAAACCCGAGAGAAAAGAATAAGTCTTCCCAATAAGTAGGGATATGATTTTATTGTGTATTAGGGTGTGTGTGAGGAGAGGAGGTGGTAATTGTATCTAACTTTTATAAATTATACTTTCCTCTCTTCACATATAGTTCTTATTGACTGAAAAGTTGTGCGGATTTCTTGAACCTTGTGTCTTTGTAAAAGATGTCAAGTAAGACATAAGGCATTGTAAAAGTATAGCAAAGTGTGTTAGAAGAGAAGGAAGGGGGAAAAGACACTCTCAAGGGAGAGAGAGGTTGTATTTTAGAGGAGATAAAGAACCTACTTCTTGTGTCCCAGCTTTTATGGGGATTTTGGGGGGAAGTTTCTAAAGGGTCCCACATGAGAATCATCTCCTAGCTTTTGATTGACAGTTGGCTTATATCAGATTTCTAAATCCCTGTTGCATATGTTTACTAATGAGTGTCTAATGAAATCCATGTGGGTGAAAATTTATAATTACACTAAGATCATATCATGTGCCACAGACCTAAAGGCAACTGGAATTTTTAAAAATATATATTTTATAGTAGTCTTAGGCCAGGGCACTCTGTCTTCCTCTTATCAAAGGAGTCATTTTGAATAGACACCTTTTAGCCCTAGGGATAATGTTGCAGATTATTTTCATAATTAAGTCAGAGCAGTTAGTGTGACTTTGTGTAATGGTTTCCTTAAAAACATGTTGAGGGCTAGCACATAAGCAGGGTCTTTGCAATTAATGCCTTAATCTCTGTATTTTCAGTGCTTATGTCTACCTGTTCCTTATCATTCCAACTATTTTTCCTCCCATTTGAGCTCTTATTTATTCAATGATTTCACCATCAGGAGAAACAAAGTAGATTGACACTCCCTTAATTATTGTACTGTTCTACAAATCTATAACCATCAAAAAATTAGAAATCATCAAGATTCTTTCTTCAAAACTTCCTGCAAAATATAAAATCTATGAAAGATCAAGGCAAAATAATGATAGGACATATCAAGATGTTAAATTGAAGCCTAATTGTTTCAAGAGTCTTAATAAATTTAAGCAGTCTAAATCCCTTATTTACAAAGCAGATAATACCAGATTGGATAAAAATAAAGAGAACTATAAGCTGACAAGAAACTCACTTTAAACTTTAAGTTCTGGTGTGCTATTGTGACAAATATAATAATAATATGCTATGTATTTCAAAAAAAGTGGAAGGATGTAGAATATTTTCATCATGAAGAAATGAAACATATTTAACCCCAATTAAATTGGTGTACAGTATATATCTGCAAGTAAATATCACATGGTACTCCATTAATATGTGCAATGTTTATATTTATATGTAAGTTAAAAACCAAATTAAATTTAACAAAATGTCTAAAGTTAAAATACATATTTTAACTTTATACATATATAACTAAAAATATTTATAGTTATGTACACCATGCTAACACCAACCATAAGGTAACTAGTTATACTTGACATGGAGAGCTATGTTAATATCAGACCAAAGGCTTTCTGAATAATTATTTTACATGAAGAGGATAATTCAGTATGCCGATTAGAATAATATAAAAATCAAGTTATTATGGAGACACATAATTGTTTTGTTCTAATAAAAAAATATTTTTTATTAATTTCTTTATTTTTACCTTGGCTTTGTGTACTTGAACTTCTGTTATTTGGTGCATGAAAGAATGAGCTACAAATATTTGAAGTGTCAACAATCTTCTCTCAACAATTGATAAATTAGTAGGCTGAAGATATAATAAGGACCTAAAAAATTGTAAAACAGTAACCAGTAGCAGGAACTTTCAGAATACTCTGAGATACATCCATCAGGAATCATATTTAAGTGTTCCTGAAACTTCTGACAAACTAGACCAATTCAGTGCCATATAAATGTATCAATAATGGTCCCATCATGAGTACATTAAGACTGTATCTTTTCCCCCACATTTATGCCAACATTTATTGTTGCTATTTGCTTTAAGTTTTTCTTATTCTGCAAAAGCATAGGTAGTTAATGCAAATGGCTGGGCAAAGATAGCATTGGCAAAGGTTTTGTTCATGGATTTACAGAAGTTAGAAAGATAGAAAGCAGAACACTAGAAGACAAAATGTTAGAAAGATATGTAGTAACATTATCAGGCATCCTTGTGTTATTCCTCAAAGTGAAGAAATCCATCCCCGTAGGTAACCAGCTGAACAAATCATATAGACTTGCCTTCCTTTATTACATGCTGCAACCAGTGGGCTTCAGGCTGATTCTTTCTCCCCCAGTCCCTGTTTCCCCAGAAGTGTTGACACAGTGCAACATGTTGTGTTTGCTACATACATACTCCTTCATGTGGTTCTAGTAAATTTTCAGGAGCAATTCTGTTATGTAGGATTACCAGGAAAAAATACAATTATTTTTGTTTAGCAGCAATATTCTTGTAATACCTTGTGCTATTTGACCTGTGGTGGTAGAAAAATTTCTCACCATGTCTTGGCTTATGTATTCTCCAGCACTGCAAATAAGAATAGCAGGTATGTGTTGACCCTACCTTATCATCATAACATGTAAACATGCTTCTTTTTCTTCTGGAAATGGAGTTATGGGGATTTTCCCACTTGAAATCATGTTTTGTGTAGCAAGAGAGGAGTAAAGGAATGCCCTAAAAGGGAGGTATTCCTTCCATCAGCTCTCTAAAGAAGGGATTGGTCCCATCCTTGAGTTGGTGGATAAATACTTAAAATCACAGACAAAAATGTAGACTTTGGATTGCAGATAATGCCACCAAAAGTACTTTCATTTATTTCTTTATTGACCAGGAGGATGAAAACTGTATCAAGGCAAGGATGGGTGTGGCCACAGAAATCAACTGAATGACATTTAATTTGAAGGAGTGTCTGTCATAGCCTCATATTGTTAATCTGGGTGAGACACCTATCTATTAAGTTGGGAATAGATCATGGAGATCCTGGTGCATAGTTTTAAATTAGAATAGCAACATTTATCTGGTGAACAACTTTTATTTAGAAGGTAAGATCTGAAAGGGGAAGATCTTCATGGATTATGACAGTAGGGATGGCATTGAAATTGCTTATAGGAATAATTAAGGGCATGCGTTGGTCATGGATCTATTATGAAATCAGGTGACATATCCAACAGTTGGTTAAAACCATTGCTAATTTTATGACACTTTGGGACAACTTAATTAAAGCATGATCTTTCCAAGTTTGGGTACAGTTATATATGGGCTCTTGTGGGTTCTAGCAGTTAGGATAATAATGATGTTGAGTAAGCAATCTAAAACATAGGGAAAGTAGCCTTTTGGGTGCAATGTGTTCAAAATTATTAATATTCATAAGAACAAAAATTACTTTTGGTAGCTAAAAATTAGCATAAGGACACATAAAATAAGGATATTAACTGAAGAAGTTACAGCCGTTGAGCGTATATGATTGATTATGCTTACAGAGAATATGAAATAAGGATTATCAGAAGAAGTCATCAAGTAACTTGTAGTGTTACTAGGGATTAGATTAGTCTCTAAATCAGTCAAAATATCCTGGCTTGGTCCAGAACCTTGGGTTTGTAAGCTGACCATGGTAGATATCTACAACTTCTTGATTTTGAGTGTTAAATCATCAATAGGAGTAACTTCCCAGGAGGATTTTGACATTCTTTTAAATTGAGAAACATGAATCCAAAAATCATTACACTCTTTTAGAAATCTTAATGAGACCCAAGCCCTGATCACTGTCAGGGTATTTGAGGTGCTGGGATGAATATCCTTTATGGGATCCACCTCATGGGTGAGACAGGATTTTTCCTTCTGACCAGCAATGGGATCTATTTATTAGGGGAATTGTATGAAAAAGCACCACATCTTGGAGTCCTGAAACCTCCATGAAGTTCCTAATCACCTAGAAATACACCTAAGGGGCAGGGAGGAGTAGATGCCCTCTTCTCTTTGAGGTGAAAATACCCTCACCTCAAATATCTTTTGTTGATCAAGTTAAGCAACTTCAATTTTCCAATTGCAATTTTGGAAATGACCAAAAGATGTCACTGTGAACTCAATGCAACAAGCAGAGCCAAGCAGGAGTGCACCCCATCTTGGAGCAGCTTCTGTGACAGATCCATATTAAAAATTTTGCCGAATAGTATACAGAGACATTTGCTGAAGATCCCTTTACACATTTTTTGTTTCCTTTTACAAACTTAGAAAGACAACCAATATTTGATTGTTGTCTCTATGCATCATTATATGTAAGGTATAGAAACCCAGATAGTTTATGGAAACAAGAATGTAAAGAAAAAGAAAAGAAAGAGAAAGAAATAAAGAAAGGGAGGGAGGGAGAAAGAAAGAGTCATTGCAAAATTAAAATTAGGTAAAATACTCCTAGGTAACAATGTTCTTTCCTGCTGTTTTGTTTTTGTTTTTATTTTTTAAATAATAGTCATCCTAATGAATGTGAAGTGGTATCTCAATGGTTTGAATTTTCATTTCCCTGTTGATTGGTGATACTGAGCATCTTTCCTTGTACCTCTGAGCCACAGGGGATATAGGAAGATATTGTTTAATGTGTATGAAATTTCATTTTTGCAAGATGAAAAGAATGGTACAGTCGTGGTGGCTGCACAACAATATGAATATGCTTAATACCGTGTAACTTAAAATTGGTTAAGATGGCAAAGTTATGCTATGTGTATTTACCACAATAAAATGTATTATTTAAAAATAAGTAAATTGTGAAAAAAATTGAAATTAGCATGTTACAAATTCATTAGCCATAAAATGAAAACTTTTCCATGTTAATTCCATTGTCTTTCCATGTGTGAACGTCCATGTGTGAACTTATTGGTGGGGGGAAGGTATGACCGATCTTTCAAATGCTAAAGCCATGGGGCTTTCCAAGAAACAAAGTTTTTCAAAACTGAATAAATAAGTGGTAGTTTTGTATTATGGTTATTTCATAGTTGTATTTTTTTGTCTGATACTTAAATTATAAATCAATACTAAAGTCATAAAACCATACACTTTGTAGTTAGCTTCTTGCTTGGACTACTCAGACAGTATTCTTAGACTCAAATTGACTATAAAAAAATTTATTTGTTGATGTTTTGTGTGTTTTGAACTAAAGCATAAAGTAGAACTCCAGCAGTAGATATGGTTACAAATAGGCAACTACTAATGATCATACTGAGAATTTCTTTCTTTTCCTTTATTACAGTAATTCAGCTATTGTACCAGAAAGCTATGATGTGAAGTATTAATATTGCCAAGAAGTTCACCACCAAATGGCCTAACAGAGAAAATGTGCTTTATAACCCCATGTTATGCCCAAATGCATTTTAAATGTCAGATTTTGGAAAATAAAGCCCACATACATAGATAGCAGGCTCCTATGAGTCAAAGGCAGCTTGCTGTGGGTGGGTGCTCCTGAGGCTGCAAGTGACACTGGCCTCTGTGTTCACAAAGCTGGGGCCTGGGCAGCTGAGTCCTTCATACACCCACTGCCCTTTGACTCAGCTCCACTTCTACTGCCCCAGCAAGAGCCTAGGAAACAACAGGTGTTAGCCTGCCACAATTCAGCTCCGCAAGTCCACCACTGTGTCCTGGCTGACTGGTGCTCTCTCCTTCCGGTTTTTTCAAGCCTGGGCAAACTGGCATTCCCCAGTAGAATATTGCTGGACTAGGGCTTCCTATCATAGTGCCAAATGGTAAGGAAAGATTTTCTCTTGGTTTAGAATTTCAGACCAGGCTGAAAGGTCCAACACTGCCCAGTTTCAGTGCCCAAGAACTGTGGGGGCCCTGCTAGACCTAGTGGTTGAAGGGTTCAGTGCATAACAGAGACACTTATCCCTCACTTACCTGACCTGCAGAAGAAGGTGCGTTTCTCCTGGGGAGTGAGGAAGGAGAAAGCTTGATGGAGTCTGAGACCTACAGCCTATACTTCTTCCACTCAGGGCTGAGGTTAGTAGGCCACAAAGTGTCCCTAGACGATAGTAGAGAAATTCTCTATCTCCTACAGGAGCCTCTCCCAGAAATCAATGTATAATTTTATGGTGCTTATTGTGTATATGTGGGTGTTGGGGTTTGGAATTATAAAGAGCAATGAGAGATAAAAAAATAATTAAATGAAGAATGACGATGCAGCTCTACACTGAGAAATGCCCATATAAACTTTGCTCCCCAAAGATTCCAAAACACCAGGACTGCAAATCACAGTGCCATAAAAGATAGGGGAAAACAACAATGAAGGAGATGTTTCAATACAGATAGCCAAGTTTGTGTGTGTGTGTGTGTGTGTGTGTATATATACATATACATATATATTTTTTTTTCAAAAAACAATGTGGAGAAATCAAAACCCTTGCGCCCTGTTGATGGCAGTGTAAAATGGTACAGCCACCATAAGAAGCAATATGATGAGTCCTCCCAAAATAAAATGTATAATTACCAAAGAGGAGAGCTCTTCCTTTTCTGAGTACATACTAAAAGAATTGAAAAGGTTTCAGGAGATATTTGTAGACCCACATTCCAAGCAACATTATTCTCAATAATAAAATACATTTATATATATATATATATATATATATATATATATATATGAATTATCTCCTTAGTGATTGGCCTATGGATTATAATTAATATAACTTACAATGGATTAATACCAACTTAATCTCAGTAGTATGCAGAGTTAGTTCTGTGTACCTTTGTTGTCTCCATTATGTTTGGCCTTATTTTCACAAACACTACTATATGCACAGCAACACAGATTTATAATTATTGCTTTATGTGATTATCTTTTAAATAATACAGGAGAAAAAGTTACAACAAAAAATGTGCTTGCACTATCTTTTATATTTACCTTTACTTCATAGTTTCCTTTATTGGCTCAACAGTTCTTCATATGCATTCAAGTTACTGTCTAATGACTGTTAAGGCATCCTGAGGAACTTCCCTTTAGTATTTCTTACAGGACAGATCTATCTGTTAGTGATAAAATCTGTTTTTTCTCTATCTGGGAATATCTTAATTTCATCTTCATGTTTCGAAATATAATTTTGCTGCTTATGAAATTCTTGGTTAATTATTTCTTTTAGCACTCTATTTCATGCCACCACCTTCTGGCCTCCATGGTTCCTGATGGCAAATCAGCTGTTCTTACCTGGTGTCACAAGTCATTTTTTTATATTACTTTCACAATTTGTTTTTCTTTCAGTTGTTTGATTATATGTGTATAATAGACTTTATTTGGAGTTCATTCCACTTCTTAGATGTGTAGATTTATACATTTTTATCATATATGGGAAGTTATAGCGCCCTGTTGATGGCAGTGTAAAATGGTACAGCCACCATAAGAAGCATATTTCTTCAAACATTCTTTATGCCCCTTTTCTCTTTTCTCATTCAGAAATTTCTCCTATTATATGTAAAGGCATAATAAAGTCCAGCAGAATTTTAAGGCTCTGCCTTCATTTTTTTTTTTTTTTTTTTTTTTTTTACTTTAAAATCCTCAGACAATGTTAAGGGCTGGATTGTATCCTGCAACATTTGTATGTTAAAGCTCCCAGTGACCAAGTGACCCAGAATGTGATTATATTTTGAGGTGAGACCATTAGAAAGGTAATTAAATTAAAGCAGAGTCAAGGTGAAGAACATAGAATAGACTGAGAATCAACCTACAGGTATAAGAACAGAGCAAAGATATGGGGACACAGCATGAAGGCAGGGGCCATTTTCCAACTAGAGACAGAGAGGCTTCATATAATAACTGTACAAAAACAGTATTATTAGGTACACTTTCTAACATTTGCAGTTATCTTCATACTAAAAATTTTAAAACTCTATGAAAGACAGCTAAGAATATCTAAACAGATGCACATGAATAAGAAGAATCAACATAATAAATATGTCCATTTCTCAGTTCAATCTAATGATTTACTAGAAAAAAATAAAAATTTAAAAAACATCAAATACCCTAAAACTGCAGAACAAAATTGGAAGATTCACACAACGACAAGATATACTGTAACACCATATTAGTCAAGAACAGACACACAGATTTGTAGAAAGGAAAAACAAAGGCAGTACAGGGCCTCACATACATACTCAGCCTGCATGTGATGATAGTGACAAACGAATGGAGAAATGATAGTCTCTTAACAAATGGTGCTGAAAGAATTGGACATCCACATGTCAATAAATATACACCTCAACACACACCTCATACATTCACAAAAATTGAGAATGGGAAGGAAATCTCAGTGTAAAGTACACAAGGGTAAAAATTCTAGAGGCAAATATAAAGGAAAGATTGTTAGGGAAATGCAAATTAAAACCTTAGCAAGACACAGTTAGTCATGCATCTATTAGAATAGTTAAATTTTGAAACACCTGACAATGCAAAACTCTGGTAAGAATGAATTGCAACAAGTTTTCTCATTCATTGCTGGTGTGATAATATCACCGCCACTTTGAAAAGCCATGTGCCAACAATATCTTAGAAAGTTACACACATATTTAACACATAACCCAAACATCTCACTCCTAGTGGTTTGAAAACAAAATGTTAAGTATTGCAATACATAAATCACACTATATTGTGATCAGTATTTATTCAAAAATTTCAATTTAAAAAAGCAATTAATATAATTTATTAAATGAGTAGAATATAATTATCTGAATAGAAGCAGAAGATCTTTTGATAAAATGTAACATCTATTCATGATATAAATATTAGCAAACTTGGAATACAAGTAAAGGATCTTTTTTGGCAGGGGAGGGGGTACTGGAGATGGAACTCAGGGGCATCAAGCCACATCCCCAGCTCTATTTTTATTTTTATTTAGAGACAGGGTCTCACTGAGTTGCTTAGTGTCTCTCCTTTGCTGAGGCTGGCTTTGATCTCATGAGCCTCCACCTATCTCAGCCTACTGAGCCACTGGGATTATAGGCATGCACCACTGTGCCTTGCCAGAAGTAAAGGCTTTTAATCTAATAAAGGGTATCCACTAAAAACTTAGAAAAATGTCACATTTAGTCATTAAATATTGTAAGTGTTGCCTCTAATATTGAGAACAAGACAAGAATACCTGTTCTCATTCCTTATAATTACACTACAGGAAATAATGCATTTAGCCAAGTAAAGTGATAAAAATGTTGACAAGTGGAAAAAAATTATTTTTACACAAAATAATTGTGTTTATAGAAAATCCAAAATAATCTCCAAATTAGTAGAATTAGATTAGAGATATTAATATTCACCTTATATGCAAATGCCAGTTGCATTCCTGTTCACCATCAAAGAGGTAAAGTGAAATGCAAAAGGCTAGACTATATACAACAACATCAAAAATACCTAGGATTATATTTTAACAAGAGTTATATAAGAACCTCTTCATAGAAAACTGCAATATCCAAGAAATATTAAAGAAGACTTAAAAACTAGAAGGATCTAGCTTGTTTGTGTATTGAAGAAGCCACCTTGTATTTGTGAACAACAATCAATATTTCTCAATTAAATCTGTATTCTCAATATGTTCTGGCCAAAATCCAAGCAGATTATTTTAGGAAACTGACAAATATTCAGTGCATTAAATACACTCAAAGGAATGTTGTGCTCATTTTGGCAGCACATATGCTAAAATTAGAATATTAATGAAATTTTACAAAATTGGAGTAAGTATACTTTTACATGTGAAAACTTCTTCCAAACATCAAAACTAGATAAGTTATCACAGGAAAAATAAACCATATACCAATATCTCCCCTGAGTATAATGATTCTCAACAGAATATCAGAAACTATTTTAGAAATTTATAAAAAATCATTAGACATTAAATCTGTTATGATTTATTCCAAGAATGCAAGAACAAAATCCAAATCTATTCATAATAAAAATTCACAACATCTTCTCTTTTCTCATTAGAATGATTAAGTTTTGGTGATCTTTTGCACTGCATGGGGGACAATGTTAATAATACTATATATATATATATATATATATATATATATATATATATATATATATATAATATAATGTATCTATATATAATAGATACATTATATTATATATATACACTATATATAAATAAAAGATATCCAGATAGTGTGTGTGTGTGTGTGTGGATATATACATACACACACTATATGGAGATTGAACCCAGGTATGCTTACCACTAATCTACATTCCCAATCCCATTTTTTAAAATATGTTTTTTATTATTTTGGAGTCTCTATAAATTACTTAGGGCCTAAATTGCTGAGGCTGGCCTCAAACTTGTGATCCTTCCTCAGCCTCCCAAGTCACTGGGATTACAGATTATAAACATGCACTACCATGCCTGGCAGTGTATTGTGTACTTCAAAATTGCTAAAAGAATACATTTTTAACAATCTTACCATGAAAATAAGTTGACGTGTATGTTAATTAGATTGATTGAATCTTTCTACTGTCAAAACATTTGTACCCAAGAAATATGTCAATTAAAGACAAATAAATAAATAAAATCAGAACAGACAGAAATAGAGGGAAATATCCTCAAACTAAATTAGGAAAGAAGAAATAAAAGATATCTAGATAGCAAAGGATGAATTAAAATATTCTATATATCCAATCATGAGCTTGTGTATGGAAAATTTAAGGAATACACATACGAAACATTAGAATAAATATATGAGTTCAGATATGTCACAGGAAAAAGATCTAGATTAAAAAAAATCAAAAG